CTTGAACCCAGGAGGCGGAGGTTGCGCTGAGCCGAGATCGTGCCATTGCACTCCAGTCTGGGTAACAACAGTGAAACTCCGTCTCAAAAAAAAAAGAAAAAAAGATGTGAAGACTGAGACTGAGAGGTAAGTTGCATTGGAGGAAACCGGTCAGGACGTCAGATTCCAGAGCCTGTGCCGGTATAACTGCACTGATGAAACCAGGAAGATAATTTTTAAAAGTCAGAGTTTCCCAGCCTCAGCACTGTGGACATTTGTGCTGGATAATTTTTTGTTGTGGAGGCTGTCCTGTGCATTGTAGAATGCTGAGAAGTACTCCTCGCCTCTCTCCACTAGATGCCAACAGCACCTCCAAATAGCACCCTAAAAATAGCATTTTGGGACAACCAAAAATGTCTTCCAACATTGCTCAATGTCCCTAGGGGAACAAAATCACCCCTGGTTGAGAACTGTGAAATTAAACGAATTAGCAACTGAGGGGAACTTCTTTATTTTAAATGAAAATATATTTCCCAGTCAATTTGATAGGCTCATGGTTAAAAAAAAAAAAAAAAAGAAAGAAAGAAGAATCAAAGGGTACCCAGGGATTATAATAAAAATAATGAAGCCTGTTCCACCTCAAATCCTGTTCCTTATTGGAAAAGTCTATTCACATGCTTAACTGTTTCTTCTCTTACTTGCCTTGATATCCCGAAATAATAATTCTCTTTTGGATGTATCAAAATTGCTCATTATTTATAGCTGTTTTTCTCTAACAGATAAATTAACCAGCCCTCACTTTTCCTTCCCTTCTTCCTTGTGTGTTAGTTCTTCTATTGGTAATTGTGAGGCACTAAGTGGCGCATGATCACATCGTGATTTATTTCAACAACTCACGGGAGTACGTCTCTCTTCCTCACAGCTTGCTTGAGATCGAACTCGCATGTCATGCAATTCACCCACTTAAAGAGTACAATTCAATGGTTTTTAACCGTATAGAGCTGTGCGGTCATCAACTTGAAATCAATTTTAGAACATTTTCGTTAGTCCAAGAAGATACCACGGACTCCTCAGCCATCACCCCAATCTAAGCACCCACCCCAGCGCCAGGCAGTCACTAATGTACTTCCTGTCTGTATAGATTTTCCTATTCTGGACATTTCATAGAAATTGAATCATACACAGTGGCTCAAGCCTGTAATCCTAGCACTTTGGGAGACCGAGGCGGGTGGATCACGAGGTCAAGAGATCGAGACCATCTTGGTCCACCTGGTTCTCAACTAAAAATACAAAAAATTAGCTGGGCATGGTGGCGCGTGCCTGTAATCCCAGCTACTCAGGAGGCTGAGGCGGGAGAATTGCCTGAACCCAGGAGGTGGAGGTTGTGGTGAGCCGAGATCGCGCCATTGCACTCCAGCCTGGGTAACAAGAAGGAAACTCCGTCTCAAAAAAAAAAAAAAGAAAGAAAGAAATTGAATTATACAACATATGGTTCTTTGTGTTCGGCTGCTTTCAGGCTAAGTACTTGTGGTCTGATGCCTTCTAGGTTTGTCCATGAGTCAGTGCTTCATTCCATTTCATGGCAGAATATTCCATAGTATAGAGGGAGATACCACATTTTATTCCTCCATTCCCGTATCAATGAACATCTGGGGTTTTTCTACATTTTGGCTACTGTGGATAATGCTACCGTGAACATTTGTGTTCAAGTTTATGTGTGAACATATGTTTTCATATCTCTTGGGCACATACCTAGTAGTGAATGTGTAGGTCACATGTGTACCCCTTTAAGGAATGAGACAGTATCTCTTGACTTCATTTGGAAAGATGGATCGCCCCTTCAGCTGCGGAAGCTCCCTTCAGAAGGGGAGTCACAGAAGAAGCAGGTTGTGGACTTTTTAAAGATCACATTTCTACATTTGCTCATATATTCATTTCACATAAGCCAAGACCTAGAGCCTGCAGGGTGAGAGATAGGTTTGCTAGTCCCTTCCCTTGAGGAAGTCCTTGATCCTCACTTCCAATTGTGATAGGTAGAATTCTAAAATGATCTCCAAGATTCCCACCCTCTGCTGTGCACACCTGAGAGAATCTCCTTCCCTTGGGTATAGACAAGACCTGTCACTAGGAGGTGGTGCTGTTCCCATGATCACATGATATTATATGGCAAGGTATAGGGATTCTGTAGATATATTAAGGTCCTGAATCAGTTGACTTAATTAAAACAGAAATTACCCCAGGTGGGTGCGACCTAATCAGGTGATCTCTTAGAAAAGGATCAGGCAGTCAGAAAGAAGGAAAGCAAAGGAGATTCTCCTGGGAACCTTGAGGAAGCAAACTGCCTCGTTGTGGCAAAGACCTGAGGGCAAGTGGCACCTTCTAACTAGAAAACAGAGATCTCAGTCAAACAACCACAAGGAAATGAATTCGGCTCAACCTGTGGGAGCTTGGAAGTAGCTCTCTACCTAGCAAAACCCCCAGCAAAGGGCACAGTCAGCTGACATCTTAACTTCAGCCTTGTAAGACTCAGCGCTCGCCAGGTGTGGTGGCTCACGCCTGTAATTCCAGCACTTTGGTAGGCCGAGGCAGGTGGATCACTTGAGGTCAGGAGTTAGAGACCAGCCTGGCCAATATGGCGAAAACCCCATCTCTACTAAAAATACAAAAACTAGCTGAGCATGGTGGTGTGCACCCATAATCCCAGCTCCCTGGGAGGCTAAGGCAGGAGAATCACTTGAACCTGGGAGGGAGAGGTTGCAGTGAGCCGAGATTGTGCCACTGTATTCCAGCCTGGGCAACAGAGCAAGACTCTGTCTCCAAAACACAAAAAATAATAATAAAATGAAACTCTCCCATGTCCCCCTATTTCCCTTGGGAGCAAATGTAAGCTCCTTACCTCGTAGGTCCTGCTGCTGAGAGCACTAGCCTCATAGTATGCTGCCCCCACTGCTGCCTCCTGCAGACTGAAGTTGTCCTCCCTACCATTCCCAGCTCCTTCCTGTTCTGAGGGTTTCCTGGGTGATTTCCTTGCACGAAACCCCCTTCTGTCTCTCAGTCATATGGCAAACCCTCTATCCATTTTTTTTTTCTTTCTGAGATAGGGTCTTGCTGTGTCACCCAGACTGGAGTACAGTGACACAATCTTGGCTCACTGCAGCCTTGACTTCCCAGGCTCAAGCCATGCTCCCACCTCAGCCTCTTCAGTAGCTGAGACTGCAGGTGGGTATCACCACACTTGGCTATTTTTTTTTTTTTTTTTTGTATTTTTGGTAGAGACGGGGTCTCGTCATGTTGCCCAGGCTCAGCTCAAACTCCTGAGCTCAAACAATCTGCCCACCTCAGCCTCCCCAAAGTGGTAGGATTAGAGACATAAGTCACTGCACCTGGCTCTATCCCCAGCTCCGTGAGATTCAACTTACACACTCCTTCCTCCAGGAAGCCTTCCCTGACCTCCCAAGCCCACATCAGGGTCTGTATCAGTGCTCCCACCCTGCCCTGCACTGGCTCCCTTAAGCCACAGCAACCACACTGTGACTGACACGAGGGTCGGTCTTCTCCGCACTGGTGCAGGAGCTGTTCAGGGACAGGCACGGGTCTGATTTACTTATGTCCCCCAGATCCCAGCTCAGCCCTGGTAGACAGGAGTCCTCGGTCCAGGGAAGCTGAATGAATGAATGAATGAATGAATGAACGAACAAACGAACGAATGAGTCAGGGATGAGACATATTCTAGGGTCTCTACCCCCTACACAGCCAGTTCCAACCTCCTGTCCCTAACCAACCCGTCTCCCTGCCTCATATCCTGAGTGTGTGGTTTTTCCCAGGTGCTCAAGTGTTTCTCATCAACAACAGCTGGGGCCTTTGTGTTTTCTCAAGAGGAACAGAGTGGTGGTGGCATGTCTTCCTGCTGTACCAGGAAGAGTTGATCAGCGTTTCTAAAACGTCCTCATTCAGGGTGAAGTGGAAATATTCCAACGCCGGGGTGCCAGGTGGCCTGAGTTCCAATCCCCGCTCTCCTTTGCCTCCCCGAGGAACCCGGAGCCAAACCTTCGTTCTGTCTGCACCTTCCTTCTGTCATTCTCTCATCTGTAGAAGAGGAGGGGATGCAGGTAGTGATCTCTCTGTTGCTGGAGGCTGTGATTCAAAATCACACATCCAAGGAATTCTGGCAGAGCTACTGGGATGTCAGGAAGCCCCTGAAATTATGTACAAAATTTTGTTTGAGTATTTTTTTCTGGGGGTCCGTAGCTTTTATCTGATTCTCAAAGAGGTCCCTAATTGCCTGCAAATTATCACAGCTGGCAGAGCACGGTGGTTCAGGCCTGTAATCCCAGCACTTCAGGAAGCCCAGCCTGGGCAGCGTAGTGAGATCCCTGACTCTACGAAAAATAATTTTTTTTTCAAGACGGAGTCTCGCTCTTGTTGCCCAGTCTGGAGTGCAGTAACGTGATCTTGACTCACCACAACCTCTGCCTCCCAAGTTCAAGTGATTCTCCTGCCTCAGGCTCCTGAGTAGCTGGGATTACAAGCATCCACCACTACACCTGGCTAATTTTTTGTATTTTTTTTTTAAATTTTTTATTGGATTTTAGGTTTTGGGGTACATGAGCAGAGCGTGCAAGACCGTTGCGTAGGTACGCACATGGAATTTTTTGTATTTTTAGTAAAGACGGGGTTTCACTATGTTGGCCAAGCTGATCTCGAACTCCTGACCTCAGGTGATCCACCCGCCTCAGCCTCCCAAAGTGCTAGGATTACAGGCATGAGCCACCACGCCCGACCAGAAAATAATTTTTTAAAAATTAATCAGGAGTGGAGTCCCAGCTCCTCAGGAAGCTGAGGTGAAAGGATGGCTTGAGCTCGGGAGGTTGAGGCTGCAATGAGCCATTGTACTCCATCCAGCCCAAGTGACAGAGAGAGAGACCCTGTCTCAAAATAAAAAAAGGAAAAAGAATCACAGCTTATGAATCAATTTAGGAAGATCCCATTTGTGCCCATAAAAATAAAGGTAAAAAAGGAAATATCTTAATGAAGATTTTTTTGTTTATTGATTTCTAGATAAAAGTGTGGCACAGGCTTTCTCCATGATCGTGGCACCAGCTACATCAGAGACAAGCTGCTGCTTTGCCGGGGTGGCCGTCCCGTCCCGTGCATTGCAGGTGTGTTCCAGCATCTTGCGAGGTTCCCGTAGCACCTCACTCCTCGCCCGTCCCGAGTTGTGACATCCAAAAATATCTCTGGACATTGCCAAATGTAACCTGGGGGCGAAATGACTTCCAGGTGAGAACCACTGGCCTAGAAGAAGAGAGTAAGAAAGTGGTAACAATCACTCCCTTTGGGAAATGAGGCTGAAATTGAGAAGAGTGAGGAGAAAGCTATTTTTATTTATTTATTTGATATGGAGTTTCACTCTTGTTGCCCAGGCTGGATCTCAGCTCACTGTAACCTCCGCCTCCCAGGGTTCAAGCAGTTCTCCTGCCTCAGCCTCCCAAGTAGCTGGGATTACAGGCACGTGCCACCGTGCCCAGCTAATTTTTTATATCTTTAGAGACGGGGTTTCACCATTTTGACCAGGATGGTCTCGATCTCTTGACCTCGTGATCCACCCGCCTCGGCCTCCCAAAGTGCTGGGATTACAGGCTTGAGCCACCGCGCCCGGCCCACTCCATCTCAAATAAATAAATGAATAAATTTATGTGTCCTTGGTAAAAAAATTTTTAAATAAAAATATAGAAAATAGAAAAAAATTTAAAAATTAAGAAGAATAAATACATACATTCATAATTAAAATGAGTTTATTGTAAAAATAAATCATCTCTCTGCAGTGGGCCACCGCACAGTCGTTAGAGGAATGAGGCCTCACTGCCTCTGTGACGTGCAGCGTCGGCATTCAAAGCTTTGAACGCAGGATGCCTCCACACACTTAAAAATTGTAGAAAGCTGGTGCCTCACACTTGTAATCCCAACACTTCGGGAGGCGAATGTGAGAGGATCATTGGAGGCCATGAGTTTAAGACTCCATGTTCACAAAAAAATTTAAAAATACTAGCTTGGCATGGTGGTGCGCACCTGTAGTCTCAGCTACTCAGGAGGCTGAGATGGGAGGATTCCTTGAACCTGGAAGTTCAAGGTTGCAGTGAGCAGTGATAGCACCACTGCACTCCAGCTTGGGCAACAGAGCAAAACCTTGTCGAAAAACAAAGACGATGGTAGGGGACCTCAAAGAGCTTTTATAAATTTGTACTATGTCTATTGATTTTTTGCATATTTGCAATTCAAACTGAGAAAAAATCTAAAATATGTATTCAAGTAAAATAACTCAGTGAATATTTACAGAAGCAACTTATTTTTAATAAAAATAACTATGGTTTCCAAAATAGAATATTGTTGGCATATATATATATTGAGACGGAGTTTCGCTCTCGTTACCCAGGCTGGAGTACAATGGCGCGATCTCGGCTCACCGCAACCTCCGCCTCCTGGGTTCAGGCAATTCTCCTGCCTCAGCCTCCTGAGTAGCTGGGTGGGATTACAGGCACGTGCTACCATGTCCAGCTAATTTTTTTGGTATTTTTAGTAGCGACAGGGTTTTGCCTTGTTGACCAGGATGGTCTCGATCTCTTGACCTCGTGATCCACCCGCCTCGGCCTCCCAAAGTGCTGGAATTACAGGTGAGAGCCACCATGCTCGGTCCTGTTGGCTTATATTTTTAAAAATCAATTCAACATTTGACTCAATAGAAGGAAGTCAAAGTCTCATATCTGCTTCTGCGTTCAATCAACCGTGTTCTTCTTGTGAAGCCTCCAGACGCTATACCCTCATGACAGAATAGAACAAAAAAGAAAATGTCTTAGCATTATGATAAAAATACCTTTGACCTTGTGGATTTCCTAAATGGGTCTCAGGGATGTCCCTGGGTCACACTTTGAGAAGCACAGGTGTGTCTTATCGTCCTGTAAATCAGTGCGGTCCAAGGGGGGCAGCATAGGGCAGGGTGGAAGCATTCATACGGACCCTGATGGAGGCTTGGGAGCTCGGGGAAGGCTTCCTGGAGGAAGGAGCAGGTAAGTTAAATCTCAAGAGTGAATAGAATCCAGCGTGGTGGTTCATGCCTGCAATCCCAGGACTTTGGGAAGCTCAGGTCAGCGGATTGCTTGAGTTCAGGAGTTTGAGCTCAGGGAGTCATAGGTCATTGATAAATGGATGGAACCAGGTGGCTTCTATGTACACAGAGGGCCAGGCACAGTGGCCCATGCCTGTAATCCCAGCACTTTGGGAGACCAAGAAGGACGGATCATGTGAGGTCAGAAGTTCAAGACCAGTCTGGCCAACATAGCAAAACCCCATCTCTACTAAAAATACAAAAATTAGCCGGGCATGGTGGCACATGCCTGTAATACCAGCTACTGAGGCGGTGGAGGTTGCAATAAGGTGAGATCATACCACTGCACTTCAGCCTCGGCAACAGAGAGAGATGCATTTCAAACACACACACACACACACACACACACACACACACACACACACACACTCTTAGAGGATGAGTGTTGTAGACACAGGAGACTCCCAGGATTCAAATTTTAGCTTGACCACTTGATAGCTGTGTGACCAGGAGAAAGCTAATTAACCTCTCTGTGTCTCGGGATCTCATTTATAAAGTGAGAATGATACTAAGAGTACCAAACCTCCTGCGTTTATAGAGTGTAAAGTGCTTAGGACTGAAACACAAAGAGGCTGGGAGGTAAGCACTCAATGAATTATGCAATTAATTTATGCAAACGATTGTTAATAAGCAACCTTGGAAAACAGTAAGGTAGAGTTATATAACATACCTAACGAGCTCCATCATGCATTCTCATGTGAACCTGGAAGGAACGGAACTATGTGCATTACCTGATAAATGTATAAAATAAAAACGCGTGTATGCCACATACTCATCTGTACGTGGATTTAAACACATGCAAATATGCTTGAATATGCATAGAGCATTTCTGAAATTATACATTAGAAACTAATAATGCCTCAGGTGGAGGAGGATTTCAGAATGTTGGGACATCCTGACTGACTTTGGAGAAAGGTGGGACTTTTCACAGCCTTTCTTCAAAACAAAACAAAAAACTCACCAATCTTGAACGGTGGGGTTGCATTCCATGTTCAAAGTTCAATAAACAAAAGAACTAGCTTGATTTTTTAAAAAGAACACAAACCTTAGGATTTGGGGTTAACGTCCCTGTAGTGTTAGCAAATATCTAGCATCCGCGTCACCACAGCCCATCCTGCAGGCAAGGCAGACAGCACCAATTGAGCAGCACGGCAGACAGCACCAATCAATGGCGACATTCTTTCCCACTGAGCAGATGTTCAGAATCCTTCTAATACTGGGCTCCAAGCAGCCACTACCAATCACTTAGTTTTGACAACGAACCTGAGACATTATTTGCAGTCCCGAATCTTAAGCATGACCTCCAGAAATTTGTGAAATCATTGAAAATGACTCAGAATATTTCCCTCCGGGAGTCCAGTTCTGCTGCTTCAGAGCTCTTTCCCGCTAACTTACCCCCACCAACCTCCCTATTCCAGAGGGATTTGGAATCCTTCTAAACCAACCACTGCTCTTGCTATTTTTTTATCTTTTTTTTTTTTTTTTACAGAAAAAGAAACTGAAGCCCCAGAGATTAAAAGATTTGCTCAAGGTCACAGAATGAGTTTGCATCAAATCCGTAGCAGTCAATTAGAGCAGCGAAGAGTGTGGACTCTGAGGTCAGACAGACCGGGCATGAATTCGCCTCATCTTACCAGCTGGATGGCCTCACTTCTCTGAGCCTCGGTTTCATAATCTATAAAATGGGGCTAATTGGAATATCTGATTCACAGGATGGTTGGAAGGATTCAGTGAGCCAATAATCAAAAGTGCTAAGTGCTGGCCTCGTAGGGTGGCTCTTGCCTGTAATTCTTGCACTTTGGGAGGCTGAGGTAGGAGGATCTCTTGAGACCAGGAGTTCAAGACCAACCTGGGAAATAAGGGAGAACTTGACTGTATTAAAAAAAAAAAAAAAAAAAAAAAAAAAAAAAAAAAAAGTGTTAGCCGGGCGCGGTGGCTCACGCCTGTAATCCCAGCACTTTGGGAGGCTGAGGTGGATGAATCACGAGGTCAAGAGATCGAGACCATCCTGGTCAACATGGTGAAACTCCATCTCTACTAAAAATAAAAAAAATTAGCTGGGCATGGTGGCACATTCCTGTAATCCCAGCTACTAGGGAGGCTGAGGCAGGAGAATTGCCTGAACCCAGGAGGCAGAGGTTGCGGTGAGCCGAGATCGCGCCATTGCATTCCAGCCTGGGTAACAAGAGCGAAACTCCGTCTCAAAAAAAAAAAAAGTGTTTAGTGCAGCATCTGAGCCCCTAATGATGACCTGATAAATATGACTATGGTTGTTAGTAGTTGTGATTGTAGTTGCAAAAATTGTTCTGATGGATCCTTAAGAGGCCAAATCTAGCCAAGGCAAAGAAGGGAGGATCTGGCAGAGTGTTTCCTTTACAATACGCTCCAAGAATAAGCTTATCAAACATTTAGGCTGTTCTCAGTCTCTCAGTATAGTGGGTGAGCCTGCAGACTGTGGTGCCTACTTTCTGAGCCTGCCTTCTTCACCTGCAAAAAATGGGGTGATGATTCCTCTGTACGGAGCTGCCGTGAATGTGTAATGAGATCACGCAAGGAAGGAAAGCGTCTGGCTCCGGTAGGTGCGCAGTAAACGGTAGCCGTCATTTCTCAACAGAGGGACCGAGCCAAGCACTGGGAAAACCCACCACTGCCTGGTGCAAGCAGAAGGAATCCCAAGCTTTGGAACCAGATAAACTTGGTTTTATTATTATTATTTTGAAATGGAGTCTCACTCTGTCACCCAGGCTAAAGTACAGTGGCGTGATCTGAGCTCACTGCAGCCTCTGCCTCCCAGGTTGAAGCGATTCTCTGCTTCAGCCTCCTGAGTAGGTGGGATTACGGGCGTGAGCCACGGCGCCCAGATAATTTTGTGTATTTTTAGTAGAGATGGGGTTTCGCCATGTTGGCCAGGCTGGTCTCGAACTCCTGACCTCAAATGATCTGCCCGCCTCGGCCTCCCAAAGTGCTGGGATTGCAGGTGTGAGACACCACGCCCAGCCCAAACTTGATTTTAGCAAATGGCTCTGCCAATTTCCACCTGTGTGATCTTGGATACATCATTTCATCTCTCTGGACCTATCTGCAAAGTGAGGCCAATAAATTGAACGTTCAGGCTTAGGAAGAAAGTTAAAAGCAGCAATGAAGGTCAGAGGCAGGCGAGTCACAGTAACCGTAGTCTACATGGTCATAGTAATACCAAGAGAACGTGTTTATTGATCCTGACCAGTGTCATTAACTGTCCTGCATGCTTTACACGGGCTGAGGTATAAAGCGCTGCCATCGATAATGAGGATGATGAAATGTTTAACAACGACCTTACTCGGCAGCACGTTAGGCCTACAACCCTAGAGACCTAGGCTAAGCCCCCTGTATCCAATCCCTTCCCTCTGGGCAGGCGGAGACGTGTTTGAAATAAAGTTTATTGAAGTTTCTGTCGATATTTACATATGATACACGGTAAATAACAGAGCCAGGCCCCCCACCCCACCCTGTCGCCACCCCCAGTGCCCCCCTCCCCCCAGCCTCGTTAAAAATCGCTGCGTAAAGTCAGGTTAACTGCGGCGGGTTCCCTCCTCCCCCCTCCCACCCAAGATGCAAACTAAAAGCCCCGGTCCCTCCCCTGCCCCCCTCCCCCCTACCCCGGGGGCCATTCTGGTTCCGTGTACAGCACTGTGCTACCTTGCCCCTCTTTCCCCAAGAAGAGGGGGTGGGCGAGTTCCTGGTGACCTCCTCTCCCCCCAAAATCTGTCCAACGGGGCGGACGGGCCCTTGAAACAGGCCAGAGTTGGGGTTCTGAGCGGGGAAGAGGGACGTCAATGAGGTGGAGAGCCAGAAAATGGAAGACTTAGAGGTTTGGGGGGGCGTCGACCCCCGCTACTGCCCCTCCCTCCCTCGACGGGGCCTCGAGGGGGGAGAGGCGGGCACAGGTGTGGAGATGGCACGGGAGTTATTCCCTCCACCCTAGGGTCCCCATTCTGGCCGCCTGGTGTGCGCCTACGGCTGGATGCACTCAGGAGCTTGGGACGAGCGGGTGGAGGGAGGAAAGGAGAGAAAGAATTAAAGAAAGAGGAAGACGAAAAAGAAGTCAAGGATAGCTGAGAAAGCAAGAAGATCCTTTAGACGAGAGCCCCCTAAAAGGCAGGTAACCTTTAGGAAGCAGAAAAGAGCCCAGCCGGTGAGAAAGAATGGGACCTCCCAGGGAAGCAGAGGAGGCGGGAAGGGCAGGGCCAGGGGCCTGGTTAACCGCACCCGTGGCTTCCAGCCCCCTTCCCCATCCCATCCCGCGGCTGTGGGTGGAGCAAGCCGGTCCTCCCGCTGCACCCGGGGACCCAGCAGGTCAGGAGGTGAGATTAGGCAGGGAAAAAGGAAGCCCGGGGCAGAAGGGAGAAGAAGATGGTCGGCATTCCCGGCGGCTGCCCGAACCTGCTTTCCAACCCAGGGCCCCTGCGGTGAGGTCGGAGGCTGGGAAGCTCCGGTGAGCCGGGCGCCTGCACAGCCACGGGCTGCTCCCTGCGCAGAGCAGGTGGAGGACGAGGGAGGAGCTAATTTTCTTGGAGAGGAGGAGTCAGAAGAAAGGGGCGGGTCTTAAGAGAAAGGGGCGGGGAAATAAAGAGGGAGGAGTCATTTGCTAGTGAGAGGGACCAATGAAAAAGAGAGGTATGGGGAAATGGGCGTGGCCGTTGAAACAAGGGGGAGTGTAGGCGGAGCCACTGGGGAGGGCGTGGCCTAAAGCTGGCAAAGCCTCCTTCGGGTGGGACCGAAGAGTCCCGAGGAGGGAAGGGGGGCTGCATTGCTGGGAGACCCCCGAGGAGGAGGAGGAGGAGGAGGAGGCAGGAAAGCTCCGAGGGGCGGACCTCAGCAGGGCGAGGTGGAGATGTGCAGGTGGTCCGGGTACTTGATGGCGGGAGGGTAGTTCTGCGTCATTTGGATGGACACGTCGCTGGAGATGTCGGAGGGGCTCCGGCCGCGGCGCCACGCCTCGGGCTGCAGGAACTGGCCGGAGTAGTCGGAGCAGTCGCTGAGACGCGGGCGGTAGAAGGCCGGGTGTGGGCGGTACATTTCCTCCTCCGCGTAGCGCTTGGTGAACAGGTACACGGACATCACGCCGGCCCCCTGCGGCAAGGCAAGGTCAGAGTCCCAGGGGCGCCCCTCACGCATCCCGGGACCCCAACTGGCCTCCCCTAACTCCAGGACTCAGAGTCCCCACCCCAAGCCCCTTCCTATCCCAGGACCTAGGATCAGGACTCCAGCCCTCTCCTTCCCCAGGACCTCAGGAGTCCAAGCCCTCAGGATACCCCCTCCCTCAAGACCCAGGAGTCTCAGTCTCCAGACCCCTCCTCCCCAAGGATCCCAAAAGTTGGAGCTCTCAGACCCCCTCTTCCTTCAGGACCCACGGGTTAGACCCTCAGCTACCACCTCCCTCTGACGCCAGAGTCTACATCTCCAGCCTCTCTTTCTTCCTGGACTCAGGAGCCAGGCCCCCAAGACCTCTCTCCATTCAGAACGCTAGAGTCTAGGTCCCACGGACGTCACCTCTTTGAGTAGGAAGGAGGAAGCGGCGAAGGCAAAAGACCACCCGTAGCGATAATGAAAATACTGCTCAGAGCTGCTGGGCCTGTTCATGACCTCGTCGTTGATGCTGGAGATGTAAAGAACCAAGCCCACCACCAAGGAGAGGCCTAGGGGGAGCAGAGGGGGTGCCCTCCTCCATTAGAAGTGGGCCCCTTCGTCCAGCCCCAGCCCCACCTCACTGCCTTCCTTCCCCTCCTCCCCATTCTGTCCTGGACTACCTTCCTGGAAGCCCCTTGTGTGCTGGGCCTTGGCTGGGTGCAGGGAGCCCAGAGATGAATCAACAGCCACCTCCCTCTTCCCCCTAAATCTACCATCCAGGAACTCACAGTGGAATTGGAGAAGGAAAATAGAAACACTGACCAAGTCACATATAAGGTGATATGTGCTACGAGGAAGTAGCACGGAACTCTGTGGGAGTCTGGAAGGGGCGCCAAACCCACCTGGGGCAGGGGCAAGAGAAATGAAGGAAAGATTCCTTTGTTCAAGTCTTTTTTTCTTTTTGAGACAGAGTCTCACTACGTGACCCAGGCTGGAGTGCAGTGGCCCAATCTTGGCTCAGCGCAACCTCCAACCTTCCAGGTCCAAGCGCTTCTCCTGCCTCAACCTCCCAAGTAGCTGGGATTATAGGCACCCGCTACTGCGCCTGACTAATTTTTTGTATTTTTAGTAGAGATAGGGTTTCACCATGTTGGCCAGGCTGGTCTCGAACTCCTGGCCTTAGGTGATCTGCCCTCCTCAGGCTCCCAAAGTGCTGGGATTACAGGCATGAGTCACTGTGCCCAGCCTGTTCAAGTCTTAAAGGATGAGGCCTAGGGAAGAATAAGGGTACACTGGCACATTAAACAGTAGGGGCAAAGGTTTGGTGGAGAGGAGGGTGACATGGAGCTGGTCCACCCATGTAGATGTAACATGAGCTGTAGCCACAAGAAATGAGGTTAGAGAAAGAGAAAAGTAGAGCCATGATGAGCCTCGAATGCCGGGCCCAGGAGCCCGGCACTAAGGATACTAGGGAGCTGCACAACGTTTGCAGAAGAGGAAGGACAGGGCCAGTTCTTAGTGTCAGGAGAACCTCTGAGGGCTGGTTGGTGCTGGGAACAGACTGGAGGGAGACATATTCCAGGGGGAGGAGGATGAGGCCTGAGCTGAGGCTGTGTGGATAATAATTGCAACAATAGCAATAATAATAGCAGCGACTTATATAGGTCTTGGTCTGTGCCAGGCACTGTTCTTGGTGCTGTATATATATAAATTCATTCAAACTTCACAACACCTCTTTGAAGGAGGTACATTTTTAAC